AGACACAGACGAGAGACACAGATGAGACAGACATGAGACACAGAGACGCAGATGAGTCACAGAGACACAGACGAGAGACACAGATGAGACAGACATGAGACACAGAGAGACAGATCAGTCACAGAGACACAGACGAGAGACACAGATGAGACAGACATGAGACACAGAGACGCAGATGAGTCACAGAGACACAGACGAGAGACACAGATGAGACAGACATGAGACACAGAGACGCAGATGAGTCACAGAGACACAGACGAGACAGACATGAGACACAGATGAGACAAAGACAGAGAGACACACAAGAGACAGACAAAGAACGAGAGACAGATGAGAGACATGAGACAGAAGACAAATGGGATAGACAGAGACAGATGACACACATAAGAGAGAGAGAGAGAGAGAGACACACATGAGACATAGTGAGAGACAGAAAAGACAGTTTGAGAGAGTGAGACAGAGAAAGAAAGAAAAAGAGACCGTGAGAAAGAGCATCAAACCACATCCATCGTGTGCAGGAACATGAACAGGAATAAATTTTTTACTTCATTAGAATGGTATGAAACTTGGTAGAGGTTTTAACATTCGCTATGTGAACACAAAGAAAATCATGGACATGATTCAAAAAGGTTAAGTGATCCTGAAAAAAATACAAAAACACATTGTCCACAGTCAAAAATGGCCGCATTGGAAACGAATGGGAAGCAAATTTCATCTTGTGGACACGTTTGGTGCTGCGGCCCAACTAAATCTGACTGAAAGCTCTTTTTTTTGTGACATCAACCTAAAATTTGGAACACAGACTTATGGCTTTGATTTTAAGTCTGTTTTACAGTAAAACATGTTTTGAAACATATATATTCCATATAAAATAGTATTTTTGTGCATTTTTCAAAATAGTAATAAATGTAAACTTCTATAACTTTTTTTTTTTTTTTTACTTTTTGACTGCCACACAAACAATACAAGAGGGTTAAAAAAAATCTACTAATAATTACACGAGAACATCCAGGAACGTCCATGCTGCTGCAGTGTGTGTGTGTGTGTACCTCAGTGTCACTGGTCACCCGGTGCTGCTGCAGTGTGAGTGTGATGCGTCCAGGTGTGTGTGTGTCGTGTTCACACTGGATCTCAGTGATGGGAAAGGCCTGCTGCTGCGCGTCTTCACACACACTGACGACGAACAGAACCTCTCCGCTGAGCAGCAGACAGCCGACGTGTTCCTGCCCCGATCCGCTCACCATACGCACGTCTAGAGCCATGTGCAGCTCGGGACGGCCCAGAGACTGCAGCATCTTCCTGCACACACACACACACACACACACACACACACACACACACAGACGGACACTGGCGTCACGTCATGAGAGATCTACACACATCTGACCGAGGTCACTCTCACCCTCCTGACCAGGGTTTTGCAAAATTCAATAAAAATTTAAAATTAAATCATTTTAAAATAATAAAACTCTAAATAAAACATACAAAAAAAAAATGTTAAATCACAAAAAATTGTTATTAAAATAATTTAATTAAAATAAAACAAAAAATGTAATTATAAAAATGTAAAATTAAAATAATTGTAAAATAATAAAAATATAAATGCATACAAAAAATTAATGAAATCACAAAAATGTCAAATTAAAATGAATAATTTTAAAATTAATCAAATTAAAACACTAAAAATTAATTAAATTAAAACACTAAAAATGAATAAAATTAGAAAAATGTACAATTAAAATACTTTAAAATAATAAAAAACAAAATACAAAAAAGTAATTAAATAAACAAATGTAAAATTAAAACGCTTACTAAAAATTAATTACATTATAAAAATGTAAAATTTTAATAATTTTAAAATAATAAAAATCTAAATACGTACAAAATATTAATTATATCACAAAAAGGTAAAATTAAAATCATTTTTAAATAAACCAAATTGAAAATAATAATAGGTAAATGTAAGAGCTGTAGTTTTACCAGATGTATTTGACGTGGCTGTTGGAGGCGTCGGCTGATCTGGTGTCAGTCGGCAGGTGCAGCTGTTTGGGAAGCTGCCAGAGACCCGCGCCGTGCAGCAGACCTGCGACACACACACACACACACACACACACACGTCACTGCACATGAACTATGGAAGGCCAAAAGGGCCAAAAACACATGAATTTTAACATGTCAACAATACGTTAAAATACACGTATTTCACGTGTATTTAACATTAAATACATGTTTGCACGTGAAAAATCAGCCATTAAATACACATATTCAACACGTATATAATGTGTTAAATATGTGTGAGAAACACGTTAAAAATCAGTTTGAACGGGTCAGTGTCATTGGCTGCTGAAGACTTGGGTCAAACCATGTCTGTGAGTTTAGGGGGGTGTACATTCATAGATTAGGCTACCACCATTTAACACGCTATAGATCAGCTTATTCAGCCTAATTATTTTGCCCTTTTTTTTGTATAGCCTATAGAAATAATTAAAATTTATAATTCAAATGTTTCATAAAACATTTGCTAAAAAACAATCATTTTTCTCCATTCATGCCTTTTTGTAAATAAACACATTAGTGGGCATTCTAGCTT